AAGAGAAGAGAAGAGAAGAGAAGAGAAGAGAAGAGAAGAGAAGAGAAGAGAAGAGAAGAGAAGAGAAGAGAAGAGAAGAGAAGAGAAGAGAAGAGAAAGACAGAAAGACAGACAGACAGACAGACAGACAGACAGACAGACAGATTTTAAGAAATAATCACTAACAATTATTCAGGTTTCTGGTTTTGGGGGTTTTTGTGCTCAGACTCATAGTGATCCTCCTGATTTCTGCCTCCCTAGCGCTGGGATTACAGGCATGCACCACCACACCCAGACTCAGACTCTATCCCAGGCTTAGGACGCCCAGGGGTGGGGCTAACGCAGCATGCAGGCCCAGGGATTGAACCCTGGCCCCTGCGCTTACCTAAGCAAGCTCTTAGTCTGCTGAGCTCTACCGCCAGCCCTATGACTAAGAAGTATTAAAAATTAATGACAGAGGGGCCGGGGAGATGGCTCAGTGGAATAAGTGCTTCCCTGACAAGCGCAAGGGCCTAAGTTTAATCCCTGGTTCCACCAAAAAAAAATTAATGACAGAGGTGAAACCAAAGATCCAAGAAGTGCCATAAAAATAAGAAGGATAAATACCTATCTTACTCCATTTTCTGTTGTAATAACAAAATGTCAGAGATGGGTGGTCTTAAGCAAAGAGATCTGTTTCGGCTCCCAGTTCTGGCAGCTTAGAAGCTCAACATTGTGACCCTGGAATCTGCTCAGATTCCAATGAGGGTCTCCTGGTAGAAGGACAAACAGTTACATGCAAAGATACAAACACCAGGAGCTGCCTTGCTTTAGAAAGACCCACACTAGTGGCACCTAATCCATTCCCAGAAATGTATTAATCACTCTTAATGACCTGAATACCTCTTAAAGTTCCTACTTCCCCACACTGGGAACCAAATTTCAACACAAGGAGGGATAAACCATGTTCAAGCCATGGCAACAGTGAAACATTCACCTCAGTATATTCCATTTAACTTCCCCCAAAAAAAAAAACTGAGAAAAAACTTAAGGAAGCCTGAGGAAAAAATACTCAACAATGTGCTATCTACAGTTTGAAGCCTGATTTAAATATAAATCAACTATTAACCTAAAAGTATGGGACAAGAGAAAGACATTCCATGCTAAGGCCAATAAAAAGAAAGTCATTTCAAACAAAGTCAACTTCAGAGCAAAGAAAATAATCGAGCCATGCTGGCCCCACTGGGCACACTGAGATGGCAATTGAGACTGGGAATGTTGGTGCGCACCTGTAATCCCAGTTCTTGGGAGGCTGTAAACAGGTGGATCACTATGAGTCGGATCTAGTAGTGAGACTCTGAACACCCTGTAAACCCTTCCCTAAAATACAAAAAAATAAATAAATAAATAAAAAATAAAGAATTGAGAATAGGGGCCTTCCATAAGATAAAGAGGTGAATTCCCCTAACATAACAGCTTAATGCAAGAGTATCTAACAGCAAATATTCAAAATATAGAAGACTAAAATCTACTGATTTATAACAAGAAATAAATTTACTGTAACAAGTGAACTGTCCATAATTTATTGTT